ATTCTGTATACTTTTGATCATTCATGAAAAGGTCTTGTAGCGCTTCATGATATAAAATATTTAGACCGTCAGTTACATGTCTAACAGTTTTCCTTTTTTTCCGAATAAAGAACACCTTTTCAACTTTACCTTGTAAATTTCTGTCGAATATATAAGGTAGTCTAATACTATGTTATGCTCACCATGTTATGTCAAATATGATAACTCAGACCCTGTAAATGACAGGTTTGATGTATAGCTCAGACCTGCTAAGTGACAGGATCAGTGTATAACTCAGACCCCGTAAGTGACAGATTCAGTGTATAACTTAGACCCGGTAAGTGACAAAATCAATGTATAACTCAGACTGCCTAAGTGACAGGATCTGTGTATAACTTATACTCACTTGGTGACAGGATCAGTGTATGACTCAGACTCACTAAGTGACAGGATCAGTGTATAACTCAGACTCACTAAGTGACAGGATCAGTGTATAACTCAGACCGACTAAGTGACAGGATCAGTGTATAACTCAGACTCACTAAGTGACAGGATCAGTGTATAACTCAGACTCACTAAGTGACAGGATCTGTGTATAACTTATACTCACTAAGTGACAGGAACAGTGTATAACTCAGACCCACTAAGTGACAGGATCAGTGTATAACTCAGACTCACTAAGTGACAGGAGCAGTGTGTAACTCAGACCGACTAAGTGACAGTATCAGTGTATAACTCAGACTCACCAAGTGACAGGATCAGTGTATAACTCAGACTCACTAAGTGACAGGATCAGTGTATGACTCAGACTAACTAAGTGACAGGATCAGTGTATGACTCAGATCCACTAAGTGACAGGATCAGTGTATGACTCAGACTCACTAAGTGGCATAATCAGTGTATGACTCAGACTCACTAAGTGACAGCATCAGTGTATAACTCAGACCGACTAAGTGACAGGATCAGTGTATAACTCAAACACACTAAGTGACATAATCAGTGTGTAACTCAAACACACTAAGTGACAGGAACAGTGTATAACTCAGACCCACTAAGTGACAGGATCAGTGTATGATTCAGACCCACTAAGTGACTGAATCAGTGTATGACTCAGACCAACTAAGTGACAGGATCAGTGTGTAACTCAGACTCACTAAGTGACTGAATCAGTGTATGACTCAGACCAATTAAGTGATAGGATCAGTGTATCACTCAGACCCACTAAGTGACTGAATCAGTGTATAACTCAGACACACTAAATGACTGGATTAGTGTATGACTCAGACACACTAAGTGACTGAATCAGTGTATGACTCAGACACACTAAGTGACTGAATCAGTGTATGACTCAGACACACTAAGTGACAGGATCAGTGTGTAACTAAGACACACTAAGTGACTGGATCAGTGTATGACTCAGACACACTAAGTGACTGAATCAGTGTATGACTCAGACACACTAAGTGACTGAATCAGTGTATGACTCGGACACTCTAAGTGACATGATCAGTGTGTAACTCAGACACACTAAGTGACTGGATCAGTGTATAACTCATACACACTAAGTGATAGGATCAGTGTATGACTCAGACCCACTAAGTGACTGGATCAGTGTATAACTCAGACACACTAAGTGACTGAATCAGTGTACAACTCAGACACACTAAGTGACAGGATCAGTGTGTAACTCAGACCTACTAAGTGACTGGATCAGTGTATAACTCAGACATGCTAAGTGACATGATCAGTGTATGACTCAGATCACTTAGTGACAGGATCAGTGTGTAACTCAGACCCACTAAGTGACAGGATCAGTTTATAACTCAGACACACTAAGTGACATGATCAGTGTATGACTCAGACCAACTAAGTGACTGGATCAGTGTATGACTCAAACACACTAAGTGACTTGATAAGTGTATAACTCAGACACACTAAGTGACAGGATCAGTGTGTAACTCAGACCTACTAAGTGACAGGATCAGTGTATCACTTAGACCCACTAAGTGACTGAATCAGTGTATGACTCAGACCCACTTAGTGACAGGATCAGTGTATGACTCAGACCAACTAAGTGACAGGATCAGTGTGTAACTCAGACCCACTAAGTGACTGAATCAGTGTATAACTCAGACCAACTAAGTGACAGGATCAGTGTATGACTCAGACCCACTAAGTGACAGGATCAGTGTATAACTCAAACCCACTAAGTGACAGGATCAGTGTATAACTCAGACCAACTAAGTGACAGGATCAGTATATCACTCAGACCCACTAAGTGACAGAATCAGTGTATAACTCAGACCCACTAAGTGACAGGATCAGTGTATGACTCAGACCAACTAAGTGACAGGATCAGTGTGTAACTCAGACCCACTAAGTGACTGAATCAGTGTATAACTCAAACCAACTAAGTGACAGGATCAGTATATCACTCAGACCCACTAAGTGACTGAATCAGTGTATAACTCAGACCCACTAAGTGACAGGATCAGTGTATGACTCAGACCAACTAAGTGACAGGATCAGTGTGTAACTCAGACCCACTAAGTGACTGAATCAGTGTATAACTCAAACCAACTAAGTGACAGGATCAGTATATCACTCAGACCCACTAAGTGACAGGATCAGTGTATGACTCAGACCCACTAAGTGACTGGATCAGTGTATAAATAGGACCCATTAGTAACATGATTGTATAATAGATAATTCTAGTAGGTTTGATCAATTTATAAATAAAACACAGAAGGATCATACATTTTTTAATACGAAGTAATCATATCCACAGGGGAGAACTTTATATGGTAGTGATAATGCAAAGGAGTGTTATTATAAGATATTGTTCACAAAAAGAAAACACACACACGCAACGTTTGAATATTAACTTAGGTAAGTATGTATGGTAATAGAGAAATGTTACCCTTACACAATGAATTATCCGTAGTGATGACCGTTACGCGGAGACCCAAGTCTTCTCCTATCGTTTTGACACGTTAGTCCAAATATCTATAAATATTATTTAAAGGGTTATTGATATCTTGATTTAAAGAATGACGAGAAGAACGTATCTCCACTGTTTTCAGAGCGTGTACAGTTTACAAGTTCCCTCGTACTAATGCCAGCTTATACGATTCCGCGTGTTATGTCAAAAACAAAAGGTACCTCAGTGTGATCTGTACATCCTATAAAGTACCTCAGTGTTATCTGTACATCCTATAAAGGTACCTCAGTGTGATCTGTACATCCTATAAAGTACCACAGTGTGATCTGTACTTCCTATAAAATACCTCAGTGTGATCTGTTCATCCTATAAAGTACCTCAGTGCTATCTGTACATCCTATAAAGGTTCCTCAGTGTGATCTGTACATCCGATAAAGTGACCTCAGTGTGATCTGTATATCGTATAAAGGTACCTCAGTGTGATCTGTTCATCCTATAAAGTACCTCAGTGTGATCTGTACATCTTATAAATGTACCTCAGTGTGATCTGTACGTCCTATAAAGTACCACAGTGTGATCTGTACTTCCTATAAAATACCTCAGTGTGATCTGTACATCTTATAAAGGTACCTCATTGTGATCTGTACATCCTATAAAGGTACCTCAGTGTGATCTGTACATCCTATAAAGGTACCTCAGGGTGATCTGTACATCCTATAAAGTGCCTCAGTGTGATCTGTACATCCTATAAGGTGCCTCAGTGTGATCTGTACATCCTATAAAGGTACCTCAGTGTGATCTGTACATCATATAAAGTACCTCAGTTTGATCTGTACATCCTATAAAGTACCTCAGTGTGATCTGTACATCCCATAAAGGTACCTCAGTGTGATCTGTATATCCTATAAAGGTACCTCAGTGTGATCTGTACATCCTATAAAGTGCCTCAGTGTGATCTGTACATCCTATAAAGTGCCTAAGTGTGATCTTTACATCCGATAAAGTACCTCAGTGTGTTCTGTACATCCTATAAAGGTACCTCAGTGTGATTTGTATATCCTATAAAGGTACCTCAGTGTGATCTGTACATCCTATAAAGTACCACAGTGTGATCTGTACATCCCATAAAGGTACCCCAGTGTGATCTGTACATCCTATAAAGTGCCTCAGTGTGATCTGTACATCCTATAAAGTACCTCAGTGTGATCTGTATATCCTATAAAGTACCTCAGTGTTGATTAAACAGATAACCCAGGTTTATGAGCGAAGTAAACTGGGACAGTTTTCCTTTTTGTCCAAATAATGAACACCTTTTCAACTTTACCTTGTAAATATTATGTCGAATATACCTGTTTAAGATACCACTGTAGTATGTCGAATATATAAGGTAACCCAATACTATGTGATGTTCATGATTTTTATGTCAAATAACGGTATGACATCAAATGTCTACAATGCTATGGCCTACTGACATATATGTATAATGCCATACGTTTTATGCTAAATGTTCAAAAATACATTTAAGTACATTATTACAATGGTTTCTCTTCTGTATAAATGGCACATATCTCGCCATCCCATTAACATAGAGTATGTAGATGAGGTAATATATACCGTGACCGAGGGCTAATGATATAAGACATGATTGAATCGGTTTGAATTGGTTTATATTAAGTGGGCAACGTGATACAGAGTTACTTTAATTTGTAAAGGGTAAAGTTGGGTCTATCTGATTAAGAATTTACACCTCAGCCTGTGTATACGGTTATAATCCCGTCAGTACATTCCGATACTGGATTACCCGATTACAATACTCTGTTTGTTACAGAGGTAGGTTTGGCCGGTGACTCGGCTCAAATCAGTGGCACTCTCCCCCACGATATAAGTTACTCGAATAATTTACGCTAATCAGCCGGAACGGTAGTTATCTAAGACCAACTTATGATTAAAACGATAGTAAAATGTCCGTAGAACGTCAAATGTATAGTAGTGTCCTTTCATGTGAAGTTTAATTCATACTGTATTACGGTGTAAATCGGACTACAGACAAAAAATATTTTTTGGATAGAACAACACTTCGTTTGATTTGCAGTCAGGTTGACAAGCTTTAGCTGATCAGCGTCGTGTATCACAGTACCCGGCTAAATGGACAGGTATACAGAGCTACAGTTTGGGAGCAACCGCGCGAGACATTAGTTTTAATCAGCACAAGTGATGGAGCGTTAACATGTTGAGATCAAGAATAGCATATTAAAAAAAAAATATGAACTGATTTGTGATCGAGGACGTTAGTTATACACGCGATTCATAAAATGGCTAACACTGTGACTCCAGATCCGGCAATCGTAAGTATTAAATGAGATATATTTGGTTTCCACGTGTGAATCTGTATTGTTCGGGTTGTGTGTGGATTTCTGTACGTCTGCAGGTTGTTTGTGGAAGCCATTATTTCCCGGGCTGTGAATGTTAATCTGTATTTTTGGGATGTTTTTGTTAACCTGTACTTTGTGTATGTGTAAGTTAATCTCTATTAACGTGTGTGGGTAAGGTATTTGAATAAGAATCAACGGATACGATTAAGTAGCCATGGACTGTATTGGTGTTTATACGGACGTCTCACAAACTATATAAAATAATCAAAACTTTCCAACGAAATATTACAAATGTTTAAAGCCGAAATTTCTTTACGATGTATATTGCACTTCCTGTATATCTAGACAAAGAAGTAATAACGACAGTGCCGACAGAGAGCTTTGTCAAACTTTAAGGACGATCCGCCCGTTTTTCAAGAAGGAAACATAAACATTTGCATAACACAACATATAAAAGAGTTAAACAGTCACTATGAAACAATATTACAACAGAAAATACTTTAAAAAAGAACCAAGAAGTTACTTAACATATGCAATATGCTGTCGTAATCAATAATCAATACAAAAATATTAATAAATATAGTGAGAAAGATCTATGTTATGGTTGTTGATGTAAACACGTGAACCAACCATTGATTGTCAGATCACGTGCCAATATTGGATGATACTGTCGTTATTAACTACGATACCTATTACTACACCTATACACACCGATAAACTAGTGTAATGACTTACAAATCAATCACAGTGTAACGATAATATTTATATAAGGTATGTGTAACACTAGTCGGTATATCCTTACCCTATACAGGTGAGGGAGATAAGACAGGCTGTAATTACCTCGTTTGGTTCTAAAAGTTTAAAGAGCGCGACATATTTTCTTTCGCTGTATGTGATCTTTGTGCAATTCTTTAAATTATAATTTTTTATCAGAGGTAAAATATCATGTTATGATATAAATTAATGTACTTATAAATAAGTAAGAGACATTTGAGAATTTATTAATCGTTCTGAAGTAGGACAGTCCCTATCTGATCTTAATCTGACATTTTTATCGGTTGATAGACATATTTACTTACAGTGGATATCAATAACATGCCATACGATACTGTTCCTAATAAGCTTCATGGAATAAGTACACCGAATATAAATAGTCACGTTAATGTTTATATCTACACTCTCGTGTAGGTAAGCATTGAACTGTTTTTGTATGGTATTTAAAATCTATTTGAATAACACAGCTTTGCAAGCAAACAAAATAATGTGCGCTAGCGCATTATGATTTGTTTGCTTGCAAAGCAGTGTCATTTAAATAGATCATAAATACCATACAAAAACAGTTCAATACTTATATTTACGTTTTCTCTGCCTCTTATGTTCTTTTTTAACTGATAATTTATATTTAAACTTAGCAAAGTAGTACTTCGAAATTTTAACAAACACTTCAATTTTATTCCATAATTCAGTATCAATACAATTGCGTATGATATGTCTACAGGGTGATTTAAGTTTATCAATAGAACTCTGAGCTGAAAGTAGGATTTTAAATTGTTCCGATTTTTCCCCGGAACAAATTTCGCGCATAGTGAACACCGTGAATCCGACCTTGACCTCTTAGAGGGAGTTACTTTTGGAAGTTAATTCGTAAGTTTCTCTGTGTGAAGAATCCAGACGTGAATTTTTTTTTATTGCATGGGAATCTGACTACAGTCGGTAGATTCAATAACAGCCTGTTATTTGACATGTCGTGATCAGAAACTGAGGAAACCGTGGCTGCGAGACGGGTGAAACTGATATCGTTTAAAGTGAGTGATCTTGAGACGGAGCACAGGGGTTCGTTACAAATGTCTGAAATGTGTATGTGTGCTGTGACTCATATCAGTAGGTCTGTAACATATGTGTCAGTAGGTCTATAGAATATGTGTATTTCAGACATTTGTAACGAACCCCTGTTGATCAGTGCAGTGTAACAGACGATATTTCTGATAAATTGCATGAGTGTTAAAATTGTTTCCATTGCCGGCATTGGTGATTTCAACCGATGTGCATTTTGTACGATATTGCAGACCTTGGCCTTGTTTTTGTTGTAACAAAAGTATTTTTATTTACTTTTTTCTTTTGCACATAAATTTACAATGGGATTGTCAAATCTCACAATGCCCAGCGATATTTCAGCAGCCGTCATGTTTATTTACATTGGATATAGTAGTTCCGAACAGTGTTGTATTAATACGCTAAGAAGTGTGTCTCGTGCTGCATGGTAAAGTCCCATCAACGACACAGCTTTCAAAGAGGCTATATAGTGACAATGTCATGCAAAGGTAAATATAGACAGTTATATTTATATACTGAAACGAAAAAGAAACGCAACTTCAAACTGAAGGTTTAATAAACAGTCCTTTGAGCTTTATTTCTAAGTTTCAAATGTGATCGTTTATATTGAAGATTGATGTAACCTATTAGTTTATGGGAATTTTTATCAAAGTGTCTCTTCGCTAGAAGGTCACGATCGGCAGTACCCTATGTTTATCAAAGCTGAAATGGCAGCAGTTTTAAGACCGTGCCACAATAACGTGCGTGTGTCCTCCTCGAACAGTTATATCACCTCTAATTCTTTATTGCGTCGTGGGACTGCGGTGGCCAAGTGGTTAAGGCGTCTGACATTCTGCTACCACTAGCCCTCCACCACTGGGTCGCGTGTTGGGGCTACGGTAACTCCTAAATCTTATATCTAGTTCATTCCGAAAAGGGTCGACTTGAGACAAATAATGGCTGTATTGAGGCCAATCTATAAGAACGATGACTATTTCACAAGAAAGTCTCATCAGAATCTTGCAATGGGTGATCTTACGTTATCTGGCTACCAGTCTAGATTATGTTGCCTAATAAAAGGCACAACATGAGGCTTACGGATCTTATCTACGTGCGAGCGATGAGAAAATTGTTCGAACGGCAAATCCTGAAATTACAGTGTGATAATCTATAAATCTCTCTTATATAAAGGTTCCAACTGTTTATAAACGAAAATATCCTTACACTCCAGTGTAATATTCCAGTACACTGAAAAAACTGTGTGATACATTATGTTTTCTAAATGACTTCTTAGCTCAATAGTCAACGATCGCCTGTGACAAACGTAAACAAATAGATGTTTTGTGCTGAGAAATACAATGAACCTTAAAACTACGTAAACAAATATTTTATAAAACAATGCTATCGTCACTGGCTTTTCCATATGCACATTTACACTTAAAATGGTGTTATAATTCTCACAATATTTTTTCGTAACTTTGTATTGATATGTTTAAGACGACGATTGTTATCTTACGCGGACCACATTTGTGTGGACACTATTTCCGGTTTCGGAGGTCATCTGGCGCGAGTAGGTTTCTTTTGAGAAAATACGTTCCCAAGTGTTGGGGAACGGAAAAAAACATTCTCATTTTATTTTTTTATTTGTTGATGAATCATTACTTGCTTCTGTTGTTAATGAACCTGTTTTTGTTTGTTGATGAACCTGCTGTAGGTTTTGTTTTATTGATGAACTTGTTCTTTTTGTTGTTTGTTGATGAACTTGATCCTGTTGGTGTTTGTTGTTGAACCTGATCTTGTTGGTGTTTGTTGATGAACCTGTTCTTCTTGGTTTTTGTTGATGAACCTGTTCTTTTTCTTGTTTGTTGATGAACATGTTCTTATTGGTGTTTGTGCGTGAACCAGATTTTGTTTTGTTTTGTTGGAGAACCTGATCTTGTTTGTGTTAGTTGATGAACCTGCTGTTGTTTCTGTTTGTTAATGAACCTGTTATCATTTTTGTTTGTTGATAAAACTGTTCTTGTTGTTGTTTGTTGATGAACATGTTCTTGTTGGTGTTTGTGTTTGAACCAGTTCTTGTTTTTTTTGTTTGTTGATGAATCTGTTCATTCTTTTGTTTTTTGATGAACCTAACCTTGTTGGTTTTTTGTTGATGAACCTTTTTCTTGATTTTGTTTGTTGATGAACCTGTTCATGTTGTTGTCTGTTGATGAATCTGATCTTGTTGTTGTTTGTTGATGAACCCGTTCTTGTTTTTGTCTGTTGATGCACATGTTCTTGTTTGTGTTTGTTCGTGAACCTGTTCTTGTTTTTGTGTTGTTTGTTGATGAACCTGTTCTTTAGTTTCAATCGATTTGCTGTATTTCGATTCTACGTCCTCACATCAGCCAATGTGAAATTACGGAATTGATTGCAATAATATATTTGGAACATGTAATAATCATATTGATCCATCTTAATATCCAAAGTGGTAATTTAATCCTCAGTTTGACATGTTCAACTTTGTGACCCGCTGCAAGACAGGCGACTCGTACTCAATCATGACGAAGTACCGTATGAACCGACCTGGAGCCACGCGTCGCGCCAAGAGTGCGCATATTAGAAGGATAAAGGGGGATCTGTGCGGCTCAGAAAGATCGGATGAGCATGCAAGAGCGGAAAGTGCAGATATGCATAGTGTAACCACAGCAACCGATTTGTATGACTTCGACAAGGATTTCCCCGACGATCTGGATCAGGATGGTAAGCTCTAACTGTATCTAGATATAGTATATGTAACAATGCTGATACTTTCCTAGTGTCATATAAATAAAGATCTTATGAGAATGCCTGTTCACAGACTTCTAAAAAAAGATTTCCGTCCGGACGGCAAGATTAACCCGTGAGTGATAACGTATAAATATGTTTACGTCGCGTATGAATCCAGTACTGTACGCAGCCATGTTTTCGGTACGACAATCTGTGGTATACTCACTAACCCTTATGGTGTTTTTTTTTACATTTTACATTACTGCGACGTTAATTAAAGACGTTACATCATGTTATCGATATCATACCGTGATGTCTGTAGTATTGTGATATTATCGCAATGTCTTTGGAATAAGTCTGTTCTGATAGAAATATAAACACATGTGCCAGTTGAAGTGGTAATAAGAGTATATCCCCTACAGTAGTAATACCGCGATGTGTGTTAGTAAATATGTGTGGTAAAGTTTGTTACAGCATATAGAGATATTATTACTGCGTAAGGAGGTTGGATTTACCCTTTTTTTAATTCTTATGCTTATACGCTTGATAAATCGTATAACAATTGAAAGATATCTTCAAAAGAATATATAAAAACTGTTCATGGAGTGTTTAATCATTAACATGTATTACCTGGTAATTCGTTTGTATTGTGAGTAGATCTTTTTAATAGGGTGTAAACAGTTAAGACAATGGGAATGTTAAGTAAAGGTCCACGTGTTGTCAGTGAGGAGTGACAGTTCACTACGACTGTTATCCGCTTTATTTTCGCAACTAATTTGCACGAAGAATGTTTATGACAAAATATATTTCAGATCAACATTCCTCACGAACAAATGTAGGTAGATACATATTACATGAATCAATTCGAGAATGAATAATAGAGAAACAAAATTTCGCATGTTGATAAACGTGATAATACACATTTCAGATGGATGGGAAATGTACACTTCGCCTAAATCATCCCTCGAATATTCATATTGCGTGAAATAATATGAGAATAGATTATTACATTACATCTATTTAAATGTTTCTTCAAATCAGATTGATACATTTTTAAATTAACACAGAATTTATCATTCCATCATCATGTATTAACATCAAAGAGATCTTGAAGGAAAATGGATTAGAAGAAAGTGTATACCTTTTTTTCCACATTAGATATTGATAACTGGTCAGAAGTTAGGATATATCCTAAGCGTATTCCGCCATCAAATTTCAACATGACACATCTAAAAACAAAGCTCAGGTTATCTCAACGATAACCCTTTTATCTTCAATTCCCCTTTTTTTGTATTTCTAGTATTTACATCTAATAATTCACCTTTCCAGGCTTACCATAACAAATATACACTCGTTTACATATCTCTCCAGACGAGGAGGACTATGAACATCGCCCTTCGCCCACGCTGTCGCCCTCCCAGCAGGTTTACCATAAAGCATGTCGACAGCTCAAAGTCGTCATCAGCAAACATTTCAGTCGTAATCTCGTCAAGGACAGCGTCATCATGCGACACCACGAGCTGGGGCCCAAAGGCGGAAAGGCATGCGCACTTGCACTTATGGTACGTAACAATAGCCGATATCATTATAACACCAAAACTGTAACATTGGTAAGCACATTTTGCATGTCAACATCATTCGAAATCATTTCATAGTGTTATATCAATTGATATGCAACGAAAGGTTAAATAACGACTGATGGTGACGATTCCATTACATTGGTTCAAGATTTAAAGGATTTGATTATACTAGTTTAAACATTTTGGGGGAAATGTTGGACCAAGATCTCTCATTCATATCCGATTTGTTTCCTTTTTTGGGGTTTGTGGTAGTCTATCCAGGCAACTCCGTCTTCGTCTTCCTCAGAAAATCGGACCATGAGGTCCGTGTTGTCCTACTGTGATGATGTAACGGAAATCTTTGTCCAAGGTTGTCAAAGCTATAGTGTTTTATGCATTTTATTTGTTGTGTTTGACCTCCAACAAAATTGCAAATTATGTTCTGTTTTAGAACAACTCGACCGTGGCGACGTTGGACCTGACGGATAATGATCTGGGGCCGGCGGGAGGGAGCTACGTCGGAGAATTATTACAGGAGAACCATTTTATATCAGATTTGGTGAGTATCACCTCAGATCATCGTCTAAATGGTCACCTCAAAAAACCGTCCAACTGGTCACTTAAAACACATTCCAACTGGTCACCTCAAAACACCGTCCAACTGGTCACCTCAAAACATCATCCAACCAGTAACGTTATAAGCCCGTCCAACTGATCACCTCAAAACACCATCCAACTGGTCACCTCAAAACACCATCCAACTGGTCACCTCAAAACACAGTCCAACTGGTCACATCAAAACACAGTCCAGCTGGTCACATCAAAACACCGTCCGATTGGTCAACTTAAAACACCAATTCACTTGTCAACATAACATCGTTCAACTGGTCACCTTAAAACTCAGTCGAACTGGTCACCTTTAACACAGTCCAACTTGTCACCTTAAAACACCGCCCAATTGGTCAACTTAAAACACCGTCCGATTGGTCATCTTAAAACACTGTCCGATTAGTCAACTTAAAACACCGTCCGATTGGTCACCTTAAAACACCGTCCGATTGGTCACCTTAAAACACTGTCCGATTGGTCACCTTAAAACACTGTCAGATTGGTCACCTTAAAACACCGATTGAGATATCGTGCAGTAAAGTAAAACTCCATTATATATGCAGTAAAGGTAAATTTAGCATTGTTGATGCTTAACTTATTGACTGCCAAGAGCGTCACGATCCTGTCTAGAATACCCACATCTGTTTAAAATGTTATAATTAGTTTGACATCACCAGTGTTTGGGATGAGCATTTACGTGAATGATCAGTACTGATACGGCACAAAGAACTACACGAATTTGTACGCTGCCCCGTCCAGGTACTTGCAATAGCAATATATCTCTTGAAAGAAGGGTATGTCAGTTGAGTCTACTTTGACCTAATTGTGATAAGCATTTAGAAATAAAAATAAAAATGAGTAGACTCCTCTGTTTTGCCAATTTTTTATAGTCTACCTAACTTGGATAAATGCGTCGTACATTATTTTTTAAAGGATCTACAGAGCTGTAACTGTGAAAGATATGCAATAAAACCTGGAGTTGCAGTTGTATGTCCGACTTTTGATAACTTGATGCTGTTGTTATTGGAGACCGGGAAAATCATGACAAAATAGTTGTTTTTAAAAGTCCTAAGCGTGTGAAGATATCAGCCAACAAAGCCCCTCTTACAAAAAAAAAACCTGTTACCCCACTGATCTATCAAGAATCGTGTATTTTGTATCTGTGGTTTCAACATGAAGAGACTGTTACATACATTCAACCCCTCTCAGACATTCAATCCCTTTCCTGAAATGTACTAACGCGATGTTGCTATATTACACAAACAATAGTGTGTATACTTTCTGCCAGGGAAAGAATTGCAAATGCCAGTATCTGTAATCTAGAATTCCTTAAGTGATACCTGTTGCTGGATCGTTTCAGACATTAGCAGACAACAATATGAAAATAGATGGAACTAAAGGCATCCTGAAGGCCATATCGGACTACGACTGTGTAACCAGCCTTAACCTGTCAGGTAGTACATCTAAAGGGTTTGTGATACAAATATAAAGTAGTTAGTGTCAGTGGTTTTTGTGTCGGTGACTGTATCGACAACCCCAACGTACCAGGTAGACTGCTTTAGCGCTATGGGATTTACACATACTGCACTTCTGTTAAACGTCTGGTGATATCATAAATGATACAAATAAGTAATGTCACATGTTGTAGTTCCGGATTTATAATGTAGAAAATACACAAATAATCCCCCGTGTCCCAGTAATTTTTCATGTGTAACACCGACAGATAATATATCCAGGTTCTTATCCTGGTTACATAATGTATTCTGGTTTATGAATAGCGACTGGAGTATTAATCACCCAAACTGGAAAGATTATTACTCATATTTCACAGAAACAACATTTAACTTCACCCAGGATTACATCCAGATAAGATTTGTCCTAAGCTAGAAATATATGTAATATTTTGTTTAGAAACTCTTTTTGTCTTATTAGTTTTTGTTTTAGTCTATACTTGTGAATCATCCAAATGTGCATTTCATATAATTTCCTATTGACATTTTCTAGGGAACGGATTACGGGAATGTGATGCTGAGGCCTTTCAGCCTGTTATAGAGGTAAGAAGGGTTTAAAACGTTATTCCTCTAGGTTATATAGGCGACAAGGTTTTAGTACAACTCAACTATTACTCAATGCGGTGACTGTATCTCGCTGTCTATACTCAAACCCCACTCATACCTAACATTAGCAAATACTCAACCAATGTGTAATTAATTTCGTTGCCTTATTCTGAGACTCAGAAGGAACCAACATAAAGCTGCTGATCTCAATGCAACATTTGGTATCTTAATATTTTTTATCCATTCTTACTACTTTTTCGATTCCTGACGCCTCTCCTGGCAAAACCTAGCTTTTGGTTACTGGTAACACAAACCTTGTCGAGTTCCTCAATTTCACTTCCAGATTTATCTTCAAAACTGTTTATTACAGCTATGTATAAAATACAGAATTATAACAGCATGACTGACACACATAATCGATTCATTAAACTATTATAAAAGTATAAGTGTCGAGTCAGAATTCTCCTCGTCGGGTCTGATTGTAAGCATATTCCTCTTTTACTAGGATACAACAAAATTAACACGACTAAATCTAAGCCATAACGAGTTCCGAGAGGAAGGAGGAGAAGTTATAGGTCAAGCCATAGGTAAGTTATAGGTTAAGCTACAGGTAAGTCATGTGTCAAGCCATAGGTAAGTTATAGGTCAAGCCATAGGTAAGTGAAAGGTCAAGCTACAGGTAAGTCATGTGTCAAGCCATAGGTAAGTAATAGGTCAAGCCATAGGTTAGCAATAGGTCAAGCCATAGGTAAGGTATAGGTCAAGCCATAAGTTAGCAATATGTCAAGCCATAGGTAAGTTATAGGTCAAGTCATAGGTAAGCAATAGGTCAAGCCATAGGTAAGCAAAAGGTCAAGCCATATGTAAGTTATAGGTCAAGCCATAGATAAGTTATATGTCAAGTCATAGGTAAGTTATAGGTCAAGCCATCGGCAATTTATAGGTCATAGGTATGGTATAGGTCAAGCCATAGGTTAGCAATAGGTCAAGCCATAGGTAAGGTATAGGTTAAGCCATATGTTAGCAATAGGTCAAGCCATAGGTAAGTTATAGGTCAAGCCATAAGTTAGCAATAGGTCAAGCCATAGGTAAGGTACAGGTCAAGCCATAGGTAAGTCATACGTCAAGCCATAGGTAAGTCATTATCAGTCTGTGAGAAAGGAGAAGTCATAGGTCAGACAATAGGAAAATTCATAGGAAAATGCTACGAATACAGTATATATAAATCTTATATAATCATTTCTAACGGATTGCTAATTTCGTATAAATTTTTAATATTTTATCTGTATGATTATGGAATGAATTTTTCATACAATTTACTTGCATGCATCATTGGTTTTTATAATTGGTATTAGAAAGCTTTGTCCAATACATAAAAGGTTGTTTATCCAACATTGTTCGCATGCTTTACCATAACCTCACAATATTTAGATGAATCAGTCGAAATGTTCACACCTAGGGCAGAAAGTTACTCCGGGTAATTACTTGCTGACATTTTATTGGTGTAAATACTTGACGAATATGTTCAACTGTATAAGACAAACCTACCAAATGATTTGAGATACTGATATGTTACTGATTAATTACTGCATCATCCACCTGCTGCGTTACAACGTGTATGCTTTTATCTTTTAGAATTCAGTGAAACGCTGACGGATCTAGACCTGAGTTGGAATCACCTCCGACTATCTGGTGGAGTATCTTTGGCTATAGGCCTCCAGGTATGCCCACGTCATACGCTATACCGTAACCTTAGATGATCTTTAACCTTAACATAGTTCTGTTATATCCTGTTTACAATTTCATAATATCTGAATGATGATATCATATTGATACAGCATTTATTCCTGTCTTGTTGATCTTCCACTTGTATAGATAAGTATTTGGTTTTATTTCACGCTATAACATATTCAGACCTTTTACCGTAGCATCGCTGATATTAATATAATTCTAACATGCATGCCTGGTGTACTGTTTCCTGTATCACTACCATTGACCTTTGTATCCACAGTGGTATACTGTCAGTTTTACTATGGGTATGGTTTACGGTCGGTATGAGTATCGTCTATATCTATATGTATATATAAAGAATATACAAAGATTGGAAACCGTGTGACAGGAAAAATATATGAAAATGAAAAAAACCCAGCTTTAAAGCAGCGAAAGGCCTTGAGAATATGTCTTCTTGCATTTTTATTATTTCCATATATATGTATATATATATATTCTATTTCTATGTAGGATATGGAAAACAGTAAAAAAAATCTATTACAAACTGAAATATCACGATACAGAAATTCACACAAAAAAAATATTCCATTGCCATATAGGTAGCAGTATACAGTAGAAATGGCCCGACTCTGGTAAACAAGGCACATGTCGAGGAAATGTAAACACAGCGGATTTACCCTACACTACACATGTATACATGTATATATTTGTAAACTGCATTACATTTACAATACATATAAATTACTGAGAAGTGTATAAACCTCTTTTTTCTATGTATGTCACTGTTGGAAAACCATGGTTACCACATCAAAAATTACCAAAAAATGCCAAAAAATGTTATTTTTAACCCAAAATTTGATCCCCGCAACTAGTAATTTTTTTCCTAAGTTCTGTCTGAAATTAAAGATTACCTACCTGGTTGCAGAATTATCTGGGTCCCAGTAAAGTTGTAAATCTTTTTTTTGCAATTTTGCGTCGTGTGCTGTTGTCAAAATGTTACCTCCTGTAAAGCTAGCTTTTCATGTGTAGGCACCCTTTCGGTTCGAAAATTTAATTCTCGAACCAAAAAAATCTGTTTTTTTTTTTTACAAATGTAAAAACTCACATAGCCCACTTCATCATGCTTATACTATCTTTATATTTTTTTTACATATCATTATACAGGGGTTAGCCATTTAACAAAAATATCACACATGGCCACAACCCTCTAATGTATACTGCTACCTATACTTGTGCAGAATGGTTCATATGTGTTCTTCCGTTTTTGTAAGGGTTTTGGGCTTGGATTCTCTGTCATGTGTTCTGCCGTTTTTGTAAGGGTTTTGGGCTTGGATTCTCTGTCTCTGAAAACAGTAAATTGAATTCTTTATTATTTGCTGATTTGATGACTTTTGTCTGTTATTTTGATGATGTGGTAAATCTATTTTGACGAGATTTTTATTATTTTGCTTTAGTTGAACAGAAGTATAAAGAGGTTAAATCTGGCCTGGAATGGTTTGTACATAGATGGATGTAAGGCAATGGCCACAGCGCTAGAGGTCAATCGGTCACTCGAGGAGCTTGACCTTTCATCCAACAGAATCAATAAAGAATGTCTGGAGAAGTTGTTGGCCGGAGTGAAGAAAAATCCAACTCTCAAAGTCCTGAAGGTAAGTTCCATAAGGTGACTATTCCTTGTAACACCACAGTAAAGTCATCTTATGAAAGGCATTTTCATATTTTACTGCATGCAAAAGTTTAACTTACACATGATGTCATGTATCCAGTTCTTGCTTAACGAAACCCCTACAAATTAACATTGTTTTGATGCATAAATGTGTAAACAAAAAACAATATTAACCTTTGAAAGGTTTTTGTTTAGTGGCGCTCCTTCACAATAGCGTATTTTTAACATATTTGTAACTCACCGTCGTTGACGTCATACCATTAGTCTACGACTAATATTGTACTAATATAGGTTTGCCAAATATAACTTTACAAGTTGTTGTGTAGCAAAGGAAAGTACGATAGCCGACAAGAGCCTGACAAAAAGATATGAACTTTCATATCTTTTTGTACCACGGTACACTTTGATATGGTACACAAAGATATGAAAATTCACATTTATTTTGCCAGGCTCTTGTCGGCCATCGTAGGAAAGTCTTTTTCTAGCGAAACTCCTGCAAACGACGTAATTTTAATACAGGTTGTTTCATACAAATCTAAGGTTGCTGACAAAACTTTTAAAGTTGTTTTCAGGAGAAGCTTCTACACAATGACGCCATTTTGATCATTTAGGTTTGCTGAATATTAATTGAAAACATGGATGATTCACCTATCATGATTGATATTTTGACCTAAGTTTGGGCTTAATGAACTTACGACACACACATGTGATCCCACTGTTAGATTAAGTAATACAATACAGTATGCTTACAATCTGTTACACTGTACCTTACAATCTGTTACACTGTACCTTATAATCTGTTACACTGTACCTTACAATCTGTTACACTGTGCCTTACAATCTGTTACACTGTACCTTATAATCTGTTACACTGTACATTACAATCTGTTACACTGTACCTTACAATCTGTTACACTGTACCTTATAATCTGTTACACTGTACCTTACAGCTGTTTCGTCCTTCTAGGACTCGTTTGTCATGCTACAGGGCCAAACACTCCAAACTGATCTAAACCACCGTTCGTAGACAATGTCTTCACTTAAGTTTATGCGTGCATATTTAATACCAGGGATCACAACGAATAATAACAATATCTCAGGATGTCATATTTGTTCTGTTTTGAATTCCTTTCGTTATGTCCCCGTGCTTCTTATATCGAATAGTTTGGATTTTGTTACTCAGCTCATTTGGCGTTATGTTTCCGTGGTACTTTTACAAAATAGATTGTATTCTATGTAACTCTGCTCAGCTGGCGTTGTGTTCCCGTGCTACTAGTTATAAAACAGTTTATGTTGAGTTGCGCTTCTCAGCTGGTGTTATGAATCCGTGGACCTTATATACGATAGTTTGTGTTTTGTTACTTGGCTCCGCTGGGGATATTATTCCATGGTCCTTATGTAAAATGGATTATGTTGTGTTAAGGTGCTTGCTACTGTTGTACACCGGGCTCCGGGTCTGAATATATCATTGTTGTATTTCTCTAAACTGCTGGCGTTACATCCCAAATATCCTATGATCTAAATCAGTTTGTTCTAGTGATATTGCGTTGTATCCCAAAGTCTCTTTTCATTGTTATGCTTTGAGAAGATGACATAATGTCTCCTAGTTTCTAATTAAAAATATATATGTGATGTTGCACCGAGCAGACGGTGCTGTACCCTGGTGATCGTTACCGAAAAGTATTTGTGTGATGTTGCTCCGAGCAGATCGTGTTGTTCCCTGTTGACCCTTACCGAAAGTTGTCTATGTGATGTCTCCCCGAGCAGACGACGTTGTTCTTTGTTGATCCTTACATAAAATTGTTTGTGTGAGATCGATCTGAGCAGATGGTATTATACTTCTACATCCTAATTCTAATTTCATGTTATCCGTAAAGCTGAGCAGAAAATACTATGCCCCAAGCCCATAATCATAATTTGGATGTATGGGGTTGATTTCAGCAGATGGTATTTTGTATGATAACTAAATGGTTTGTGTTGTGATGACAGTTGGCGCTGAACCCTCTGACTACGGCTGGAGCAGCTGTGTTACTGTCTACTGTGAAAAACAGTACTGACCATGGCCTCAAGATCGTTGATATACACGTAAGTACAGGTCACGAACGTGGGAGGGTACTCAACTCGCAAGCTTGTGTATGATGTGGCGATTTTTCTTATAGCACAATATTATAGTATTTATTTTAAGTTCGATGCATTGAAGCGATTTTTACCTTCTATTCTCATGTGTTACTCGTTCACACAATTTTGAAAAAAGAAAAAAAAAGAAAAAGTGAAATGAAATCTGTACGATACGACATTAGGTATATCCTTTCACATATCTTAACATGCAAAATAATCGTCAGATCAATATTTTAATGAATCAATGAATACAAATGATCAGACAGTCCCCAAACTTACATCATCTAAAGAATATAATGCCGTCACTTAATTTCATAAAACATGACTAATATGATGCGGTGTTCTGTTTTGTGAGTCCTTGCCTGCTAAAAGTAAAACTGAACTTGTCTTAACTAAATGTGCTCGAGTAATACGTGTATAGACTCATGCGCTGTTAATATCTACGAAATACAGAAAATGAAAAACCAAAGCACCTATTGTTTACATTTTAAAAGTACACATTCAAGTTATTAAATAGGAAATATTGATAGTTTCCGTATAAAATTGTTCCAGTAGGGTAACCACACATTAGTTATATTATTAGTCTTATAATTTGTCGTGAGACATTTCTACGGGAATCACATGTGGCGCAGGAAACATATTTCCTTACGTTGGCCATGGTTTTGCCTCTGATATTATCATGAAACAAATGATGGTTTTTCCTTTGCTTCGATTGCTTTTATGTTCCTACTGTGTTTGTTTCGTATTGAAGTTTTGTCCTGCATATGCTCGCCATGGTCTTCTTAATGTTATCCCGGACTGCATAGAAAACCATTGACATGATCTACAAAACGATATTTTGACTTTCGCCTTTTCCAGACCCAGGTTGTTGAGCAGGCATATGCTACACAAGCGACCGCGTTACACGAAGAGAGAGGGATTGAGATCAAGCACGGGATAGTGCGGGGTCAGGAAGGGTCAGGGGATGATCCTGACGGTATGGAACTCGTTGACGAAAACCCTGTACTGGTCCTCATGGAGTTTGGTAAACTAATGGGATTTCGTCTGATGGACCTTTTCGCCGCACTTGATAAGGATGGCAGCAAGTCACTCGATAAGGTCGAAATCATGACAGGACTAAAGGTATGTGACGTGTCTGTATTGTAAGGTTAAGGTTAATATCCCCCTCGCTGACAAGCTTGTTTTTATGTTGCAGTTTGCCAATATCCCTCTCACAGACAAGTGTGTTTTCTGTTGTAGTGTACCAATATTTCCCTCACAGACAAGTTTGCCTTTATGTTTCAGTTGGCCAATATCTCTCTCACCGACAAGCTTGTTTTTACGTTGTAGTGTACCAATATTCCCCTCACAGACAAGTTTGCCTATATGTTGTAGTTTGCCAATATCCCCCTCACAGACAAGTATGTTTTTAGGTTGTAGTTTGCCATTACCCCCCTTGCTGACAATCTTATTTATATATTGTATTATGCCAATATCTCCCTCACAGACAAGTTTGATCTTGCGTTGTGGTGTACCAATATTCCTCTCACAGACAAATTTCTTTTAACGTTGTAGTGTGCAAATATCCCTCTCACAGACAAGTTTGTTTTATGTTGCAGCTTGCCAATATCCCTCTCACAGACAAGTTTGTTTTTACATTGTCGTTTGACAATATCCCTCTCACCGACAAGTGTGTTTTAACGTTGTAGTGTACCAATGTTCCCCTCACCGACAAGTTTGTTTTAACGTTGTAGTGTACCAATATTCCCCTCACCGACAAGTTTGTTTTTATGTTGTATTTTGACAATATCCCTCTCACAAACAAATTTGTTTTATGTTGCAGTTTGCCACTATCTCCCTTCCAGACAAGTGTGATGTCATGTTGTAGTTCACCAATATTCATTTCAAAGACAAGTTTGCCTTTATGTTGTAATTTGCCAATATCCCCCTCAACGACATGTCTGTATTTATGTTGTAGTTTGCCAATATCCCTCTTACCGACAAGGCGCTGGATAAATTGATTGAGAAGCTTGACGAGGATGGCAGTGGTGAAATAGAATTCAGGTCGGTAACTTTTTTCCAATATTTGTTTGTGTAGTGCATTCATTTATTCTCATGAACATAAGGCTTTTAAAAAAATGGGTTTATGGACCAGAACTATGCATATTCCTTGTATAAGTTCACCTTAAAGTAAACATATAATACAATCTACGTTCCACGTCTTTCCTTAAAATTGTATATATATATTTGTCATATTAGGTTCAAGTATTTTACAAAACTTCATTTTCTGTATGACATCAAATATATATTGATATTATATGACACATTATTTAGCATATGCTATTATGTGCATATACTGTATATTGACACCAATACTACTTCCTATACCCAACGTTGAAAATGAACCCCAAATTATTGATACTATTTAATGCCAAATTTTCGAAACTGGCTTGGTTCCATATTCAACGTTGAAAACAAGATAACGTAATATTTCTTTGATGTACCTTTATAAAACCTCAATTTCCATAAAAATGTTCTTGGTTAAAAGAAACAAGTAAAAGCGTAAATCAATGATTTATTAAATAAGACACAACATTTTAATAGCACCTTGTTAGTAGCAAAAATGCGTCATGAATGAAAAAAAAGGTGTACCAAATGAATTTACATCTATTCTTGTGTAATGTCAATCAACATCACAGGGACAAATAATAATATAATGACAAGGGGCAATAACTCTGCAGGTTACCGTCAAATAATTACCGGACAAAGTTTCATTGAACTCCGTCAACAGTTATTGTGTTTACAAGGTTCAATAATAATATTATTACAAAGGGCAATAACTCTTAAAGTGACATTCGAATGATTCCCAGTTTCGAAGTCGTTCGAGATCTTTTTGATATATGGCTGCATACAAAGTTTCATCAAACTCGGTTAACATTTACTCAAGTTATCGTGTTCACAAGGTCCAATATTATCGTGTTCACAAGGGCCAATGATATTAATATTACAAAGGGCAATAACTCTGTACGTTACTGTCGAATAATTCACATTTTCGAACTCGTCCGGGATCTTATTGTCATATGGCTGCATACAAAGTTTCATTAATCTCGGTTAACATTTATTCAAGTTATCGTGTTCACAAGGTTCAATAATAATAATATTACAAAGGGGAAAACCTCTGTAAGTTACTGTCGAATAATTTCCATTTTCAAACTTGTCCGAGATCTTTTTGACATATGGCTGTATACAAAGTTTTATCAAACTCGGTTAACATTTACTCTAGTGATTGTGTTCACAAGGTCCAATAATAATAGTATTACAAAGGCCAATAACTCTGTAAGTTACTGTCGAATAATTCCCATTTTCAAACTCGTCCGGGATCTTATTGATATATGGCTGCATACAGAGTTTTATCAAACTCGGTTAACATTTACTCTAGTGATTGTGTTCACAAGGTCCAATACTAATAGTATTACAAAGGCCAATAACTCTGTAAGTTACTGTCGAATAATTCCCATTTTCAAACTCGTCCGGGATCTTATTGATATATGGCTGCATACAAAGTTTCATCAAACTCTGTTAATATTTATTCAAGTTATCGTGTTCACAAGGTCCAATAATAATAGTATTACAAAGGGCAATAACTATGTACGTTACAGTCGAATAATTCCCATTTTCGAACTCGTCCGGGATCTTATTGATATATGGCTGCATACAAAGTTTCATCAAACTCTGTTAATATTTATTCAAGTTATCGTGTTCACAAGGTCCAATAATAATAGTATTACAAAGGGCAATAACTATGTACGTTACAGTCGAATAATTCCCATTTTCGAACTCGTCCGGGATCTTATTGATATATGGCTGCATACAAAGTTTCATCAAACTCTGTTAATATTTATTCAAGTTATCGTGTTCACAAGGTCCAATAATAATAGTATTACAAAGGGCAATAACTATGTACGTTACAGTCGAATAATTCCCATTTTCGAACTCGTCCGAGATCTTATTGATATATGGCTGCATACAAAGTTTCATCAAACTCGGTAACATTTACTGAAGTTATCGTGTTCACAAAGAAAAGTTAACGCACGACGGTTCATCTTCAGGTAGCAGTGTACAGTAGAGGGTTCTGGCCATGGGTGATATTTTTGTTAAATGGCTAACCCCTGTATAATGATATGTAAAAAAAAATATAAAAATAAAACTGCACTAAAATTGGTATAAGCATGATGAAGTGAGCTTCACATTTGTAAAAATGAAAGAAGATTTCTTTGGTTCGAGAATAAAAGTTTGGCCATAATACGAAAGGGTGCGTACACATGAAAAGCTAGCTTTACAGGAGGTAAAATTTTGACAACAGCACACGACGCAAAATTGCAAAAAATCAAGTTTTACAACTTTACTGGGACCCAGATAATTCTGCAACCAGGTAGGTAATCTTTAATTTTAGACAGAGCTTAGGAAAAAAATTACTAGTTGCGGGGGTCAAATTTTGGGTTAAAAATAGCATTTTTTGGCATTTTTTGGTAATTTTTGATGTGTTGTAAAGTTGATACCAAACATCAAATAGTTCACAGGCTATCTCCTGATGCATTCATACTAGATTTCAGTCTGTTTCCCTCAGTCCAGCACACGGTAGCCATGGTTACTAATACATAAAGTTGTATTTATTGGAAATGGGTTAAATATCTGTTTTCATTTTAATTACACTATGTTAGATGTTTTTTTCCCACTTGATTCAGCATACAGATGAAATAAGCAAAGTCAGTAATGTCAATAAATTTTATTTCCATAATTACAGCTGAAGAAAATCTTTTTTTTCTAGCGAAATATGTTAAATGAACAATTTCTGAGGGTCACTGTCAATTCTAGGCGAGGAAAGTAAATAACGGTTGCTATGGTGGCACTTGTCTGATTTCTCAGAATATCTTACATTTCTGTGCTGTTCATCGGTTACGGGAAGTGTGTCTGTTGCTAGTTTGTTGTTGAGATGGGTTTCCTAGTGTTCAATATTTTGATATCAGTGATCCTCGATGATGTCATAGATGCCCATTGATGACGTCATAGTTATGATGACATCACAGTTACTATGACGTCATCAAACAAGACAGTAACATCATAGTATCACTGTACTGTTTGTTTTCTACATGCACATGATCTCAAGGCATCATATTTCACCCAAAAAGAAATTTTATTCATGAAAACTACAAACCTATTCAAGTTTTCATTTTTCAGATTACCTCCCTTTGTTGGTAGTTTGAGAGCAGAATTGGTAAATACACTTTTCAGGAGAATTCATATTACTCGGTCACTATTAAAGTGAGAAAGGAAACGGATACATCATTGTGTTCATTGTCGCATTTTCCAGACATTTAAAAGGTTTTGATTAAATTTTGGGGAAAAAAAAGTGATGTATAAGGTAGCAGAGTACAGTAGAGGGTTGTGGCCATGGGTGATATTTTTGTTAAATGGCTAACCCCTGTATAATGATATGTAAAAAAAAATTAAAAATAAAACTGTACTAAAATTGGTATAAGCATGATGAAGTGGGCTATGTGAGCTTCACATTTGTAAAAAAGAAAGAAGATTTCTTTGGTTCGAGAATAAAATTTTGGCCATAATACGAAAGGGTGCGTACACATGAAAAGCTAGCTTTACAGGAGGTAAAATTTTGACAACAGCACACGACGCAAAATTGCAAAAAATCAAGTTCTACAATTTTACTGCGACCCAGATAATTCTGCAACCAGGTAGGTAATCTTTAATTTCAGACAGAGCTTAGGAAAAAAATTACTACTTGCGGGGGTCAAATTTTGGGTTAAAAATAGCATTTTTTGGCATTTTTTGGTAATTTTTGATGTGGTAACCATGGTTTTCACACAAGTGACATACATAGAAAAAAGAGGTTTATACACTTCTCAGTGCTTTATATGTATTGTAAATGTAATGCAGTTTACAAATATATATACATGTATACATGTGTTGTGTAGGGTAAATCCGCTGTGTTTACATTTCCTCGACATGTGCCTTGTTTATCAGAGTCGGGCCATTTCTACTGTATTCTGCTACCTCAAAGTTGAACATAGATCCTCGGATATTTTGACATCTTGTTCATGTTCATTTGTTTGAAATTGTGTACCTGATACATTTTATGAATCTTGAAAACTGATATCTTTTATCTATCCGTCTTAACTTGTGCAACTTTAAACTGGATTTTCCTAGGATTTCGGATGTCTTTTCTTGTATGACATTTACAATAAAAGTTTGAAATATTATTCTGGTAAGGCACTTAAAAATGTTAAAAAATCTATCTTGCTGATATATCTTACATAATGGTTTAAATGGAATTAATCACAACAATTAAAAAATGTCCATGGAAATTAATCATGTTATAACACTTCTTAATGAAGTCTGTGGTAAAATAGTCCTACTGTAACACTTCTTAATGGAGGCTGTGGTAAGGTAATCTTGATATAACACTTCTTAATGAAGGCTGTGGTAAGGTAATCCTGTTGTAACACTTCTTAATGAAGTCTGTGGTAAGGTAGACCTGATGTTACATTTCCTTAACGAAGTCTGTGGTAAAATAGTCCTGTTGTAACACTTCGTAATGAAGTCTGTGGTAAGGTAATCCTGATGTTACACTTCTTAATGAAGTCTGTGGTAAAACAGTCCTGTTGTAACACTTCTTAATGAAGTCTGTGGTAAAATAATCCTGTTGAAACACTTCTTAATGGAGGCTGTGGTAAGGTAATCCTGATGTAACACTTCTTAATGGAGGCTGTGTTAAGGTAATCCTGATGTAACACTTCTTAATGAAGGCTGTGGTAAGGTAAACCTGATGTTACACTTCTTAACGAAGTCTGTGGTAAAATAATCCTGTTGTAACGAAGTCTGTGGTAAAATAATCCTGTTGAAACACTTCTTTACACTTCTTAATGAAGTCTGTGGTAAAACAGTCCTGTTGTAACACTTCTTAATGAAGTCTGTGGTAAAATAATCCTGTTGAAACGCTTCTTAATGGAGGCTGTGGTAAGGTAATCCTGATGTAACACTTCTTAATGAAGTCTGTGGTAAAGATCGGTGACATTTATCATTTTAATGATTATAAATGTCATTGTAGTGATATGATTAGTGACACTCATCGTTATAATGATTGTTAATGTCGTAGTAGTGAGATGATCGGTGACATTTATCAATGTAATGATTGTGAATGTCGTTATACAGAGACAATTGGTTACACTTATCATTTTGATGATTGTAAGAGTCGTTATACAGAGATGATTGGTGACACTTATTATTTCAATAATTGTGAATGTCGTTGTAGTGAGATGATCGGTGACAATTATCATTGTTATCATTGTGAATGTCTTTATACAGAGATGATTGGTGACACGTATTATTTCAATGATTGTGAATGTCGTTGTAGTGGGATGATCGGTGACAATTATCATTGTTATTATTGTGAATGTCTTTATACAGAGATGATTGGTGACACTTATCTTTGCATTGGTTTGGTTTGACGTCATACAGCCATGATTTGTGACACCTATTATTGTAATGATTGTGATTATCGTAATTGGTGACACATTTAGTTGAAGTGATTGATTGTCGTTGTAGAGAGATGATTGGTAACACATTTAGTTATAAGGATTGTGCTTGTCGTTTTAGCGAGATGATGGCGGGTCAGCAGGAGTACCGAGCTAAGATGAATAAGATGTACAAAGCTACACAACAATCAGTAGATGTGGAAGACACAGAGATCGGACGGGTTCGGATAAAGCTCCAGCGTCTGATGGCTAAGCAGATGGCCAACAATCCAGCATTTAAAAGTAGGGTTGAGCGATTTCAGCAGTCACTCAGTAAAGGCTTCAATAATGGAGAAATAGCAGTGCGCATGACCGGAAATAAGCGTGATTTAAATCGAGAGAAAGTGAGACAACGCCGAGAGACAAAAGCGGCGAAAAATAGTTCTGCTTTATTTGATCTGAGTGGTCTTGAAAATGATAAGAGTTCTGATACTACTGATAAAGCATCTGCTTCTACTGATAAGGATATTGCAGAAAAGAAATTTAAAACTGTTGATGTAATTTCTGAACAGAGTGACGAGGCTATTTCTACTGACGTTATTACTAACAATGAGACTAGTGTAGAGGACAAATCACATGCTTTATTTAGTAGTAGTCCTAGAAATAATTTGGAGAAGGGGATGTCAGGAAAAAAAGGTTGGATGGATATGCACGTTTGATTGAGGATTGGCTTACACATTTATTAAACTATATACATTGCATGTTTGTGTTGCGTTTTGCTTCTGGTGTCATTGTATGTCAATGCTTAAAATATAAATAATGCATGAAAACATATCCAAGAGCTGATCCCAACACTTACCAGGGATATTACTTATAACACATAGTTAGAAAGTGCGCCTGATCTTGCGTCCATGTGTTACAATACACAGTATAAACCTACATATACAGTATATATAACTGTGATATACTATCCATTATTAAACTAGAGAGTATCTATAACTGTGTTATAATATCCAGTATAAACCTACAGTGTACCTACAACTTTGTTATTATCTCCAGTATAAACATACAGAGTACCTATAACTGTGTCATAATCTCCAGTATAAACCTACAGCGTACCTATAACTGTGTTATAATCTCCAGTATAAACCTACAGTGTTCCTGTAACTGTGTGTTATAATATCCAGTATAAACCTACAGTGTGCCTAAAACTGTGTTATAATCTCCAGTAAAAACCTACAGTGTACCTAAATCTGTGTTATAATCTCCAGTATAAACCTACAGTGTACCTATAACTGTGTTATACTCTCCAGTATAAACCTACAGAGTACCTATAACTGTGTTATAATCTCCAGTATAAACCTACAGTGTACCTGTAACTGTGTGTTATAATATCCAGTATAAACCTACAGTGTACCTAAAACTGTGTTATAATCTCCAGTATAAACCTACAGTGTTCCTGTAACTGTGTGTTATAATATCCAGTATAAACCTACAGTGTACCTAAAACTGTGTTATAATCTCCAGTAAAAACCTACAGTGTACCTAAAACTGTGTTATAATCTCCAGTAAAAACCTACATATACAGTATATATAACAGTGATATACTATCCAGTATAAACATACAGAGTACCTATAACTGTGTTATAATCTCCAGTATAAACCTACAGTGTACCTACAACTTTGTTATTATCTCCAGTATAAACATACAGAGTACCTATAACTGTGTCATAATCTCCAGTATAAACCTACAGATTACATGTAACTGTGTGTTATAATCTCCAGTATAAACCTACAGAGTACCTATCACTGTGTTATAATCTCCAGTATAAAACTACAGATTACCTATAACTGTGTGTCATAATCTCCAGTATAAAACTACAGATTACCTATAACTGTGTGTCATAATCTCCAGTATAAACCTACAGTGTACCTATAACTGTGTTATAATCTCCAGTATAAACCTACAGAGTACCTATAACTGTGTTATAATCTCCAGTATAAACCTACAGTGTACCTATAACTGTGTTATAATCTCCAGTATAAACCTACAGTGTACCTATAACTGTGTTATAATCTCCAGTATAAACCTACAGTGTACCTATAACTGTGTTATAATCTCCAGTATAAACCTACAGTGTACCTATAACTGTGTTATAATCTCCAGTATAAACCTACAGTGTACCTATAACTGTGTTATAATCTCCAGTATAAACCTACAGTGTACCTATAACTGTGTTATAATCTCCAGTATAAACCTACAGTGTACCTATAACTGTGTTATAATCTCCAGTATAAACCTACAGTGTACCTATAACTGTGTTATAATCTCCAGTATAAACCTACAGTGTACCTATAACTGTGTTATAATCTCCAGTATAAACCTACAGTGTACCTATAACTGTGTTATAATCTCCAGTATAAACCTACAGTGTACCTATAACTGTGTTATAATCTCCAGTATAAACCTACAGTGTACCTATAACTGTGTTATAATCTCCAGTATAAACCTACAGTGTACCTATAACTGTGTTATAATCTCCAGTATAAACCTACAGTGTACCTATAACTGTGTTATAATCTCCAGTATAAACCTACAGTGTACCTATAACTGTGTTATAATCTCCAGTATAAACCTACAGTGTACCTATAACTGTGTTATAATCTCCAGTATAAACCTACAGTGTACCTATAACTGTGTTATAATCTCCAGTATAAACCTACAGAGTACCTATAACTGTGTTATAATCTCCAGTATAAACCTACAGTGTACCTATAACTGTGTTATAATCTCCAGTATAAACCTACAGTGTACCTATAACTGTGTTATAATCTCCAGTATAAACCTACAGTGTACCTATAACTGTGTTATAATCTCCAGTATAAACCTACAGTGTACCTATAACTGTGTTATAATCTCCAGTATAAACCTACAGTGTACCTATAACTGTGTTATAATCTCCAGTATAAACCTACAGTGTACCTATAACTGTGTTATAATCTCCAGTATAAACCTACAGTGTACCTATAACTGTGTTATAATCTCCAGTATAAACCTACAGAGTACCTATAACTGTGTTATAATCTCCAGTATAAACCTACAGTGTACCTAAAACTGTGTTATAATCTCCAGTAAAAACCTACATATACAGTATATATAACTGTGATATACTATTCAGTATAAACATACAGAGTACCTATAACTGTGTTATAATCTCCAGTATAAACCTACAGTGTACCTATAACTGTGTTTTAATCTCCAGTATAAACCTACACGGCACCTATAACTGTGTTATAATCGCCAGTATAAACCTACAGTGTACCTATAACTTGGTGTTATAATATCCAGTATAAACCTACAGAGTACCTATAACTGTGTTTTAATCTCTAGTATAAACCTACAGTGTACCTATAACTGTGTTATAATCTCCAGTATAAACCTACAGTGTACCTATAACTGTGTTATCATCTCCAGTATAAACCTACAGTGTAGCTATAACTGTGTTATAATCTCCAGTATAAACATACAGAGTACCTATAACTGTGTTTTAATCTCTAGTATAATCCTACAGTGTACCTATAACTGTGTTTTAATCTCTAGTATAATCCTACAGTGTACCTATAACTGTGTTTTAATCTCTAGTATAAACCTACAGTGTACCTATAAGTGGGGGTTATAATCTCCAGTATTAAGCTACAGATTACCTGTAACTGTGTGTTATAATGTTATAATCTCCAGTATAAACCTACAGTGTACCTATAACTGGGTGTTATAATCTCCAGTATTAACCTACAGATTACCTGTAACTGTGTGTTATAATCTCCAGTATAAACCTACAGTGTACCTATAACTTGGTGTTATAATATCCAGTATAAACCTACAGAGTACCTACAACTGTGTGTTATAATCTCCAGTATAAACCTACACAGTACCAACTACTGTATATAAACACACGACAATCGGTTATTAAACAGTTACCTCCTGTCTTTTATAAAAGACACGACGTTTGGCAATGTTCATCAGTTATTCTTCACCAGTTTTATGTAAAACGTACGACATTTGATAAGTAAACAGTTATCCTTCTTATGTTGTATACCAAGCACAGGACATTGGATAGGTAAACAGTTATGCTGCACCACTTTCATGCCAAACTCACGAAACTTCACAAATAAACATTGATTCTGCACCAGTTATTTGCCAAACACACGACCTTTGATAATCTAACCGTTATGCTTTACCTATTTTATGCCAAACACACGACATTTGATAACTAATCAGTTATGCAGCATATGGCTTCTGTAAAATGCACGACATTTGATGATTAAACAGTTATTAACATATGTTGTCTACACAACACACGACATTTGAAAATCAAACAGTTATGCTGCACCTGTTTTCTGCCAAAAAGACGATACTTTATAGTTATAACGTTATGCAGCATCTGTGTTCTGTACAACACGCGACATGTGATAAATATGTAGCAAATCTTCGACGGTTTTATGTCAAACACACGACATTTGATAATTAAACATTGATTCTGCACCTGTTATTTGCCAAACACACAACCTTTGATAATCTAACCGTTATGCTTTACCTATTTTATGCCAAACACACGACATTTGATAACTAATCAGTTATGCAGCAAATGGCTTTGGTAAAATGCACGACATTTGATGATTAAACAGTTATGCAGCATTTGTGTTCTGTACAACACGCGACATGTGATAAATATAAAGCAATTCTTCGACAGTTTTATGTCAAACACACGACCTTTGATAATTTAACATTGATTCTGGACCTGTTGTATGCCAAACACACGGCATTTGAAAACTAAATAGTTATGCTGCACCTGTTTTATGTCAAACGCGCGACATTTGATAAGTTAACATTGATTCTGTATCTGTTGTATGCCAAACACACGACATTTGATAACTAAACAGTTATGCTGCACCTGTTTTATGTCAAACGCACGACATTTGATAACTAAATAGTTATGCTGCACCTGTTTTATGTCAAACGCACGACATCTGATAAGTTAACATTGATTCTGTATCTGGTGTATGTCAAACACACGACATTTGATAACTAAACAGTTATGCTGCACCTGTTTTATGTCAAACGCACGACCCTTGATAACTAAACAGTTATGCTCCACCTGTTTTATGCCAAACGCACAACATTTGATAACTAAATAGTTATGCTCGACCTGTTTTATGCCAAACGCACGACATTTGATAACTAAACAGTTGTGCAGGACCTGTTTTATGTCAAACGCACGACATTTGATAACGAAACAGTTATGCTCCACCTGTTTTATGTCAAACGCTGCACCTGTTTTATGCCAAACGCACGACCTTTGATAACTAAACAGTTATGCTGCACCTGTTTTATGTCAAACACACGACATTTGATAATCAAATAGTTATGCTGTTCCTGTTTTATGTCAAACGCACGACATTTGATAAGTTAACATTGATTCTGTATCTGTTGTATACCAAACACACGACATTTGATAACTAAAAAGTTATGCTGCACCTGTTTTATGTCAAACACACGACATTTGATAATCAAATAGTTATGCTGCACCTGTTTTATGTCACACGCACGATATTTGATAAGTTAACATTGATTCTGTATCTGTTGAATGCCAAACACACGACATTTGATAACTAAACAGTTATGTTGCACCTGTTTTATGTCAAACGCACGACATTTGATAAGTTAACATTGATTCTGTATCTGTTGAATGCCA